ATACTATGGATAGAGGACTGCTGTAAGCAATGGTTTTAAGTTAAAAATGTCTTGATGGATTTGTTTATTACAAACACCGCTTTTAGCTTTACAAGACTGATTGTATTTGTGTGGATTACTTGAGGTTTATTGTGATATTTTTATCAGCTGCTTGGACTCTCATTCTGACGGCACCCATTTACTGCAGAGCATTGATCTCAAACTCAATTCCTGGAGGGCCACAGCTCTGCAGTTTAGCTTCAACCAGCTCCAAATCACACCTGCTTGGAAGTTTCTAGTGATCCTGAAGACCTTGTTTAGCTGGATCAGGTGTGTTTGATTAGGGTTGGAGCTAAACTGTGCAGAGCTGTGGCCCTCCAGGAATTGAGCTTGAGACCAATGCTGCAGAGGATCCATTGGTGAGCAAGTGATGTAATGCTAAATTTATCCAAATCTGTTTCGATGAAGAAGCAAACTAATCTACATCTTGGATGGCCTGAGGGTGATTAACTTTTCAGCTCATTTTCATTTTCCTGTGAACTATTATTTTAATGTCTAACACAGTACCTTAAGTAAACAGATCATTAAAGAGGAAACATTTTACAATGAAGTTTAAGGGTTAGTTCACCCAAAAATGAAAATTACCCCATGATTTACTCACCCTCAAGGCATCATAGATGTATATGACTCGCTTCTTTCAGATTGGGGGGGGGGGTTGAGATATCTAAGAAAAATATCTATAAACAGTTTTCTCTAACTTGCGCTAACTGTGGTACGCGCAAGCCGGATGACATAGGACGTCGGCGTAGCCTAAGCGCCAGTAAGAATATGCTAGTCTCGCGAGAACCAACGTTTGTTTACAGGAGCAAAGGAAGCAAAGTTTCCTTTCTTTAGTAAAGGAAAGCCAGTCTCCTCTTGGCTTATGTTGAAATCCTCCGACATTTTTTGAAATCCTCGTTTTGTAATTCGTGACCAGTGTTTTGTTTTGCTCTCTCCTCTGCGCTTCCGCGTTCGTTACTAATCAAAGCCGCATGCACTACGCCGGGGGTTCTCAACCAGGGAGTCACGGCTCATTAGGGGGCCTCAGTGATCCTCCAGGGGAGCCGCGAGATAGCTTAAAATTAATTTAAATATTATCCTATAATTGTTTAATTTCATTATTAATGTGTTAAATTAAAATTATCAAAGCAAGGCCTCTCGTGTTCTGTGATTGATTGCTTCGGACTCGGCGCAACAAGCCTCATTGCACTGTTAAATACAGACTGAACGGTGGCTCAAAACTTCCAACCGCTGCACGTAAACTACATCTCTCGGCTGCATGAAGCAAACCGTTGCGCTAATGTAAAGGTAAAGATGATTAGAGTAATAATAACGAACTTGCGCGTGCCTAATGTATGACACTCCTCAAAGTCAAATATCAAAGTCGTAGGCTACATTAGGCACACATAAGTTCGCTATTGATTCACACACTATGCGCGCTCTCGGGGCTCTGATCCCTATTGTATTTTTGCGTGAAATTTCAATATATTTGCATAGTTGTCCAAATTAATGTCCTGTGAGTGTTTTATAATGGATGCTCACCCATAGAGGAGGATCTTGTGAGGCTGAATGGTTTTTATGCACATATGAGCATCCGACACGCTCTGATGGAGGAACTGTTTACTGATCCCGTCTTCGTCGAACCGCCTTCAGATGCGTTTCAACAGATTTAGAATGTATTTGCTGTATTTTTCATTTGTATGGTTATTTTTTTAATGGATACAAACAGTAGATATTCAGTCAGTCCAGTTCAAAGGGACATGTTTAGTGAGTGGTCTTTTGGCATCTCCCTGTTGTCCTGTTTGGTATGGCAGGGTCACTTATTTAAGAAAAAGTACTCTGAAGTTGTAAAGAATGTCTGAAGTAAAGAATTCAGGAGCTTTAAATCTGTATATATATATATTATTTTAAAAAGTTAGAATTGAGCAGAGGGTTTTCTTTTAAGTTATAAAGTATAGCTTTGATTTAAAGTGTGTTTGAATTTTGAGATTTTTTTTAATAACATGCAGTAGAAGAATAATTAGGCAAAACAAATGTTTTGGTTAATAAAAAAGGTTTAAAAATAAACACTTTTCTCTTTGCTGCGGAAGTACAGTATAGGAGGAAATGTCAGGCATAGGGGAGCCTTGCAAAATTGACTAGAGAAGGAGGGGGGCCCCGCAGTAAAAAAGTTTGAGAACCCCTGCACTACACCGACGCCCTACATCATCCACTGGAAAGGCACTCTCTCGTGAACGTGCGTACGACAGTTAGCAGAAGCTAGAGAAAACAGTTTATAACATTTTAAATATGGATATTTTTCTTAGACAAATGCATGGATTCGCTATAGGAGGCCTTTATTCATCCTCCAGAGCCGTGTGAGGCACTTTTTTACTATGGATAGATGCACTTTATTGGACTTCTTTTGGACTGTTGAACAATAAAACCCACCACTATTATAACGCTTGGAAGAGTCAGGACATTTTTTATTATAACTCCAATTGGATTCATCTGAAAGAAGAAAGTCATATAAACCTAGGATGCCTTGAGGGTGAGTAAATCATGGGCTAATTTTAGGGTGAACTAACCCTTTAACTAAAAAAACTCAACAAATGGCAAACACCTCAATTTTGAAGAACTACATTTTTACATTTTCCAAAATTTAAAAAAATAAACAAAATACTCGCCTGTGTTTTTGGATGATTAAAATTTAACTGAAATTCAATTTTGAAAAAAAAATGTGTCTTGCTTAAAAAAAAAAAAAAAAAGTAAATAGTACACAAACTGTGTGGGTTAGGCGGTTTAGAAAATGCCACTAATTAAAGTCAACATTTTTTAATTTCATTTTAGGTATATAAATATATGTTAAAAGCATTATATCCAAAAACATTTCAGATCACCTCAATCACCACAACTGATGCCTTGGCCTTGTGTGACGCCATATATCTTAGTTGCTAGCAGGTGTGGACTTTAGGTAAAGTACTGTTAGTTTTTATGTTCAGTGAGTGTGAGAAACACGCAGCAGGAGACTCGGAGCCGAGTCAGACCCCTTGCGTTCACCCTGCTGAGTGTGGAAGCAAACCCAAGGTATCCTGCCTGCATTTCACTGTCCTCAGAAACAGCACTCTAGACATCCGTTTACATCAAACTAACAGACTCTGACATGCCGTAAAGACGAATTCTGATTTAAAGATCGATTTACCTGCAGGGCCACCCGTTTGAGTCGTTCATCATCCAGCTCTTTTCGGAGTTCATTGAGCTCTCTCCTACAAAGTTATGAAAGAAGTTACAGAATTATGGAAATCAACCTTTATGTCACAAGTGATTTCTAAATACTTTATCTACAATGAAATGAAATTTCAAATGTGGAAACATCTTTTGTGCATTATATTTTATAGACATAACTCGACCAGTACAGAATACCAAAAACCAAGTAGCATGAAACAAAACGATCACTTACGACTGTTGTGTCTTCAGTAACTCTATAGACAGTACTAGCTCCTTCATATGAGCCTTCAGTTCCTCAAGTTCAGATCCTTTCTCCTCTTCCTTGTCAAGTTTTGGTTTGAGCTCAGGGGTGATATGGGTTGCTGAAATGGTTTTAGGCACCATAGATGGTAAGGGTGATGAGACAGACATCTGCAAGAAAAGCAAAATCCAGCATATCAATTAGTATGAAAAATACTCAATGCCATGTCTTTAGCAAACAATACAACTGTTAGGTTATGGAAATACTCTTATCTTTTATAAACTTAGGTATTTCCGAACTAGTTCCCTGATAGTCTGGTTTACAAGGATGACCTTGAACCAATCTCTAAAGCGTTTCCAGCTGAGACACTGAGGTCATGTTCCTAATTGCTGAAAACGTCTGCTTAGTAATCAAATATTTCTCAGGCTAAAAATGTGAAATATTAATAAACCACTGGTAAAAAGGTCACACAAACTCAGGAGGTGGTCTGAGTTCATTTGTCCACAGAGTGGTTCACTTATTATAGTATGCTTTCTTCTCTTTATTTCTTAAAAGAGTGACCTTGTGCTAGTCCAAATGTGAGTACCATCTGTGTGAAACCAGACAGTGTGTTTTCAGTCCATTTCACATAAGCTTAACCTAAAGAACACTACATAATAAAATAAGTCCTCAGGACTGAAGTCTCATTTAAAAAGAAGAGCCAGACAGTCAGTCGAGATCATATCAGAGATGCTGATTATATCAGAGATGCTTTATCTCACAAACCCTTGAGAATATAATTTCATGGGATGTATTTTCAAGCTGTCACAGTTAATCAGACGGGCATCTTGGGGAATTAAACCTTTTACATATTCTTTCGGTTAGCTATTTAATTACTCTAATTAGATATTGCAGAAAGCCCTCAAGATTCTTGCATTAAGGGATAGTTCACCCAAATTTTTTTATTCATCATTAAAAGTCATTTAAGTCATCATTTCTTTGCCCTTTTTTTAATAAACTTGTATATAAATCACAGTATCTTCTTTTTTGAATGTGAATTGTGTGCTATATATTTGAGGTACCTTAAACGAATTTTGTGTGGAAGGTGCAACGTCATCCACTTTCTCGATTTTCTCAGCTTTCTCGCCAGTCTCCTTGCTCGGCTGCAAGACGTTACAGAGCATGTTATTCAAAAACATGGGAAGAGAAAAGCGCAATTAGCACTATACTTGACACACATCCCATCTGGGGTGTCACTGGTAAGGCCTTTTTTGATCCAGACAAAAACACTACCTGATAGCCTTATTATGCCCCCCTACACATAAGAAAATTATTTTCTGTCTCAATCAAAATACATGTAATAGATTTATTACAAAAATATCTATTAAAAATAAATGTTAGTGCTTGGCACAAATAGATTTAGCAGATCCTGGTTTGCTTATCCTGCAGGGCTATGATTATAGGAACATCTGTGATTTCACACATGACAGTATGTAAACTCAAAAAATACTAACACATAAAAATAACACAACAATTCTGTGAAGCAAAAACTTGAACATTTCTTTATTGAAAATTATAAAACAATTATTAAGCTGATTGGCTGATATAGAGAATGTCACCTAATGTTTTATTATTAATATACTATAATCTTTATGAAATTTTATGTCTTTTCTTCTAGGTGAAATTATTTAATTCGTTTTTTTGTTTTTTGTTTTTTAATATTAATGAATATTGGTGCAATATCTCCAAGTGGAAAGATGGCACTTAATGAATGTGCAAAATTAATGTTTTGATAAAATGTTATTTTAATTCAAATTTGCTAACAAAAAAATGTTTTTATGTTATTACCTCAGATATTTTCATTAGTCTTTTAGCATTAAACTGAGAGATCAGAGCCCAAGGCAACTAAGCATAAGTGCGTTTTATACTCACGGAGTGGCCTCTGTGTCCAGGCAGTCTTTTGCCAGGCATCTTTGGTCGCTGTGCGGTAGGGTGGGTTAACTTCTCCGAGGCAGAGGAGACATCGTCAAAACTCATGAGATTAACTACAGGAATAAGACACAAAGAAGACTCAATCATAAGAACAGCCTTCAGTCACACAGTCAAACAGGACCTATCTCAGCTGAATTATAATTTAGAAGTTGTATATGAGCCAAAAAATTTATTTGGAGTTACATAAGCCAATTTAAAAGTCATATGTGGTAATAAAGCAAGTTTGTCTAGATCAAAACCCAACAGTGCAGGAAATTACAATTCATTACTGAATGATGATGGTTATACAAAGATTGTGCCAAAGTTTGAAAAATTTCCAATCAATCATCCTGGTATGGTTGTCAGTTTGATATCTTAAGAACTGGCACTAAAAATCCACCTGACAGACTTTAATATGCCCACCATTACCTACCTAACAATTTTAACCCATTAGTCACCCTTTGAATGATATCTTAGAGATTGGACACACACAAAAAACAAGAACCACATGCCCTTGTAAATACTATAAAAAGCAGTGACTACATACAAAAGATTTCCATGAAGTGTAAAATGTCTCATGCTTTCCCGTATCCTGAAGTGGCAAAACTGAACTTGATGTTTTTCTCCTTCTGATAGTGTCTAAAAGGAATCCAGACGCCTGCTGCAGTGACATGCTCATGACCTTTCGAGACGATGTGATTATAGCAGCTTTGGTGCCATTTTGTTAACCTTTGAGACTGAAGCAACATCCTGGTGTTTGTGTACACAAACAGAGAATCTACTCAAACAGCATACTTTTTGTTTTTTTTAAGAATTCTTGTTTTCTGTTTTTTCTTTTCATCAGTTAGATTTTTTCTAAGCAAAATATGGTGCATCCAAAGTGAACATCCTCCAGTGTGCTTGTCAGTGCATGTTTTTAACATGTAAACATGCTTTTATCTGTCACAGTATTAACAAGTAATGCATAAGAACTAATTTAACACAAACACTCAGACCTAAGTGAAACTTGTTATCAGAACAAACTTGAGCTGATAGATTAGTTGCACCAATTTATCAGCCAATTTTAACTACATTGCAGTGATTTAAATTTTGCATCAAATGTCTAAAATATGTATAAGAAAAAAACCTGACATCTTTTAACAGTCAAAATATTTTTTTGAGATCTCAGATAATTACTAAGGGACCGATTCAGATTGAGGTTTTAATAAAAAGAAACCTTTGGATATAACTTGCCAATGACTTTTAAAAAACTGACTTTTAAAAAAATTCCCAAAACAACAACAATGTAAAGATGGCACCCAAGGCAACTACTTGCTTCCTTTATCTTTCACAGGTAATTTTAACCAGCTCTACAGATCTGGACCGCCACCCTCTGTGCAGGAAGAGTAATCCTGCTCCCAGCAAGGGATCCATCGTGCTAATCCACAAACAGAGCTCTGCTACACCCAAACCACAGCAAAAACCATACTCAGTTGTGAAAAACTGGGCATACAAGAACCAAAACCATTCCAAACACTAACATTATAGCCTCTGTGCCGGTGGTTCTCAACTCTCAAAAGAGTTAAAATATTAATATAATTGCTAACATGTTTTGTTGTTGCATGTGTAAGTAGTGTGATCAGGGTCTATTTGTTTCCTGCTAAACAGTCCTGAACTTTTTTATGGTTTTGTTGCCACATGATGGTCAATACAAACCAAAATCAGAACAACTTACCTATATCTGAATTCTTCTCACTGCTGTCCACAACGGTTTTTGGCTTAATGGGTACAGGTTCGCTCTCTGGTTTTGTTCGTATAATAGGAACTTCTCCATTTTGCCTGTGGGATTTATGAGGAAAAGTTAGAACAATTGGCCTGCAATGCCCACTGTCACACTCTAAATGCAAACAAAGGCTGTTCCAGACAGTAAAAAGAATACTAATAAGAAAGCTATTTTTGATTAAAGATGTAAGGTAACACATATACCGTGTCTTTTGCAGAAAAAAAAAAAAGTATCGTATGTATCTCATAATGCATTGCAACAAGCTCAGTGTAGCATTGCCATATTTTATCCAATATGGCAAAAACAGCAATACAATACTGGGAAACATTGATTGTTACATATAAATGTATGTATACATTTAAAATACACATTCAGTACACATAAATATACTATATCTGATTTCATTATTTAACAATATCCACATATATGGTTTTAAATGAAATATTTCAATTTAATCAAATATTGTATTAAAAATGAGTAATATTAAATAAACACCAAATATTTTAACTGTGCTACAAATTTACTATGCTTCTAAAACCTACAAATGTATTACGATAAAGCTTATGACACCAACACTTGCTTGGCGGCTGGTGATGGAGTGAGAGGCAAGTCAGGTCGTTTTGTGTGGATGGAAGGACGCAGCAGTCCCTTGTTTGGAGGCACAGGTTTTTTCGGGGGCACGATGGGGCCAGCAGGTTTGGTGGGTTTCTCTGGCAAGGGCTTGACAACTTCAGAGAAACAAAGGACAAATATATATATGATTTGAGATAATAAACATCTACCCAGACATAGCAAGACACAAGATTATGCAAAACAATTGTCTCTTACAAGGTTCTGGGAGTTAATTGTCTAGATGTAGGATATTGTAATAAGGTTACATAAATAGTATTAGTTCCTTCATTCCTGATTATGGAAATTCATACGACCATCAATTATTTGACAATTATCTCTATTGATTGATCCCAGTATCTATTGATTGATAGCCCACAATCTCAGAAATCAGTTGAAAGTCATGAGAATGGAAGCCAATGCAATTGGTCCAAATGACATCAGAAACTTTCACAAGTGTTCACAATGACGTGACTCAAAGTAGGTCGGGAGAGATTTCGGCAGGATGTTTGCACCACATCGATCTGCTTCTGTTTTTTTTTTTTGTCACATAAATCACTCTTTCTGACATTCCCATCACAAGTCCTGTGTTCAATTTGTGACACTTGCTCTAAATAAGAGAGACTTCTATCTGATAAACACAAAGTCCTGCTTTCAGACATCGCAAAGATTATCAGATATATGTTCCAGTAGAGTGACATCTATATGCGAAAATAATTGGCAGGAAGTCTTTGATGCATACACAATAGCAGATACTCAGACAGGCAGTTGGTCAGAGTGCATGACATTTTTCCTACAAAGTAGCTACAACATTATATAAAGTACATTATAAACAATAGTATTAAGAGTACACACATCAGATGACCTTAATAGCCCCCACCCTGACTTGAGCTATATTAACAACTTCATAAATAGGGATGGGTATCAATACAGATTTCCTGCTTCAATTTGATCCCATTTCATAAGCTCTGGATTTTATAATATTCACTTTCAGTATCTGGGTATATTTCAGGAATAATGTCCATTTTGTTTATATATGAAGAAAACAATGCGAAAATATTAATCTTGAAAATTGACAACAGGGCCCAGACTATGCAGATCAAGTGCCATTTAACACGGTCAATACCAGCTGAAGTAAACTTTATATCGCAATTTATGTGTACAACTGTTATTACAACACTCAGTGACATTATTACACTGCCGTTCAAAAGTTTAGGGTTGGTAAGATTTTTAATATTTTTAAAAGAAGTCTCTTTTGCTCACCAAGATTGCATATATTTAATCAAAAATACAGTGAACACCGTAATATTGTGAAATATTATTACAATTAAACTGATTTCTATTTTAATGATTTTTATTCCTGTGTTAAATATTTATTCCTGTGATGGTAAAACTGAATTTCCATCAGTCATTACTCCAGTCTTTAGCGTTACATCATCCTTCAGAAATAATTGTAATAAGTCAATTTGATGCTTAATAAACATTTTTATAAACCATTGTGCTGCTGTATGTTTTTGTGTAAGCTATGATACATTTTGTAAGTAGTTTTTTGTTTTTGTATGAATAGAAAGTTCAAATGAATCAGCTTTTCTTTGAAATAGTACTTTCTGGAACATGAATAATGTCTTTATTGTCACTTAAGATCAATTTAATACATCCTTGCTGAATAAAATTATTTATTAAATAACAATAAAAAAATAAATATCAAATAAATTATTCATTTTTTAAAAAATCAAATACTAACCCAAACTTTTGAACAGTAGTGTTTAAAATGATAACAATAAAAAACTAACAGAAACACATTCTTTTTTAAATAATCCAATTAGTTAATCTATAATCTACTTAAAAAATCAATTAGAAAAATCAACAAAGCTGTCTACATTGTGAGGGTTATGAAGTCAGGCTGTTGCTGTGCACAAAGCTTATGGCTATTTGCAATCTAGTTGCATTGTGACGCAGTGCCTGTCTGTAGTGAAGATTGGGTATAAAAGTGAAATGACAGCATTGCAACAGTTCCTGATTGAAAGCATGTATAAATAAGCAAGAAAGATTCTCTCTTATAAAGGCTCTTAAAAAGTGCTTTGAAAACTAATGAATGAATAAAAATAAATCCACAATCAATTAAATTAACACCATGAGGATTTTTTAGGGGTATGTTAAAAGTGGACTCCATCCTTAACTATTAATAGGTTGTTAACAGATACTATTTATTTCATATTATCCAATGAAGAACTACACTTGTACACATCAATTTCTGCTTTTTCATTCATGACATTCATTCTTCCTGACACCACAGTTGGCAAGAAGAATTTGTGGTATAACAGGAACCAGGCAGCGGGCCCTCTCTTACCTTTATCTTCAGGCCGTGGCTGCGGTTGCTTCTTGTCCGCACTGGGGGCCTCTGGTTTCAGGACTGAGAACCGAAGCATATTGACTCAGTTAATATGTTTTTTTAGATACTACACTGAAGATAGAGCAGCTCTAGACACGGTAGATAAAAGAACAATGTGACTCCTGAGACAGACGTTTAAAGAGAATAGGAAACATACAGTCAATGACTTGCATTTCCTGTGTGGGTTGGAGAGACAGACCAAATCTTTGCAACCCTCTATGCAAGCTTTCTATAAAGCAATTGGGATGATGCGGTGCCCTTTGATGTATAACAACATCCGCCTTTTTTTTTTTTGCATGTTTTGCAGACAAAAGCTGTGAGGGACTGACAACTTCAGCTGCATTATCAGACTTTACATCTGCATCTATTAATATCCCCTTACATTATTTGATCATATATGTTTGGATATCTTACTAACCTTAAAATTTCATTGATATCTTCAGCAATTTATTGAATGTAAATATGCCGAAATAAAAAAAAAGCAATGTTACATAGCTGGTTAGCAAATTAACCAAAATAAAATTATAATGCTATTTTCCAGCCAGTGTGTTTATGAATTTATAGCTGCCATGGAGTTATATTACAGCTGTATTATATTAAATGTTTTGTCAAATAAAATAAAATATTAAATTATATTAAACAATTATTCAAACAAACAAACAATTAAATAAAGCAACTTTTTTAAAACAAAATGAAAATAAATGAATATATAACATGCTGCACAGAACATCATTTTTTTTCAGTAAAAATATAATAAAACAAAATAATTATTCTAAATGAATGAATAAAAAATTATCATTGCTGCAGTTTAAGCTAAAAATAGATCAAGAACTATGAAAGAAGTGTCCAAATTCTTCAATATGCCACCACTGATGTGTGGCAGACATGGGCTCTGTGTTCAGTGCAATAATTGAATATGCCAGTTTAGCTGGCATCACCTAGCTGGCATCTTCTCAGCATACACCAGCAAGCTTCTCTGAAAACCACAGGGGAAGCAGCTCAAATCAATGGCACCAGCAATTATTCACTCACATACTGATGCAGACATATGTTCCCTTCAAGTATCACTATTAAGCGCCATCAAATCATGTCAGCTGCCTGTGGCTAATAATAATAGCTTTTTGCTGGCAGGCAAGGGAAAGATATTTGATGACAATGAGCTTTAAAGGGATATTTCACCCAAATATGTAAATTCTGTCATCTAACCAAATAGCCAACCAAACAGTTGCTGGTCCCCACTGACTTCCATAGTATTGTCAATGTCTGGTCAATGGAGACCAGACATTGTTTGGTTATTCACATTCTTCAAAATGATTTCTTCTTTGCTCAACGGAAGAAAGAAACTAATACAGGTTTGAAACAACCTGAATGAGAGCTTATGATGATCATTTTCATTTTCCGATAAACAACCGCCTTAAATTGATCACAGGACTCTTATTACATATGATTGCGAGAGAGTCATTGAGCATAACCTCAGCAGCCAGAATGCGTATGATGACACTTTTATTCCTTAGCGGCCTCATAGCAGCTTAAAATGAAAGAGAAGAGTAATGTAATCAAATTTGTGCAATCAGTGAGATGTGAAATGGTATGTTAAAGATATTATACCTGGGGTTTTGGATGGTGGTGGGGGCTTCTTTGGCTTCTGTGGAGAAAAAACAATAATAAATAAATAAACCTGCCATTTAAAATAAAATTTAAACCTAGAAATAAATATTTTAGGTCTGTTAAAATTGGGGGAAAATTATATATTGACATAAAATAAAATCAATTGAACAATGTACTGCATTATTTCTAGGTTAAGTAAGCAAATTTGTGTCGGATCATTCTCAAATCTTGCTGAAGAACACAATCGTCAGGCTTTACGCAAACTTGTACGCTACTGTCAGCACGAAATGAAATTTCACCCCATTTCTTAATAGAACATTTTCTAAAAGGATTATATAAACTTTAATAGACCTTATTTTAAATAATTCAATCGAAATCAACAACCGATACATAGAACCCAACATCTTTTATTTTTCCATAATCCATTACACATTTCATGTATCTTTTTTCATTAAAACTTTTTCAGATTGTTATTCTGATAATAAACTGCAAATGCCAAAAAAAAAGAAAAAAAAGAAAAAGCATTAAATTAGAACAAAAGGGGGGAGGGGATCTTCACCTCACAGGTCAGGCTCCCATAATCCCTTGAGGCTGAATAACAACTAATACAAGCTTCTAAAGAGCTCAACAAATTAAAATTATTCGGAACTAAAACAGATGAAACTGCTGAGGTTGGAAATCCCCCAGCCTCCCCTTTGATGGCTCTGGAAGATTTGAGAACTCTTGCAACATATAAATGAATCGCTGCACTGATTACCAGAACAAATCATCTCACATATAATCACAGCAGGAGAGAGAGTTCAAACAATAATATAGGCCTAGATCAACATTTGCAACTGACATAGATATGCATCATTTATGTACATGCATGACTTCTTTCATGTAAAGTTTGAGTCTTTTATGTACATAATTCCAGCATTCACTGAATTGCCCATTTTCCAAAAATATCCAGCCAAAATGGGTTTTGGGGGGGGAGCACAACATGTACTGAAGATTTGTTCACAATAAGACCAAGAACACGTATCAAGTAAGTAAACATAACTGAATTTGATTTCATGTTGACATTAAATTAAATGTTTGAGCTCACAAGTTCAGATTTTCCTTTCTAGTGTTCTAACAAACAGATGCTTATGCCACTATGTCCTAGACTTAAGTGTGAGTAGGTTTATGAATATCATCATGGGGAGAAGACAATCTTAATGGATATCTGTTTTATAAGCATATAGAAAGAGTTTGAACATTGTGGCTTATTTTCTTTTTAGTATAAGTAAAAGTATATATTTCTAGTATAGTTGTTGCTGCAGGGCAAGAAGTGGCGTTCCAATTATTATACATTTAACTGTTAAGTCCTGCTCCTTTCACAGTTAAAAGATTCAGATCATCAAACTAATTTTAATATTACACAAAGATAATGCAAGTAAATACAAAATGCAGTTTTTAAATGATGATTTCATTTATTAAGGGAAAAAAACTGTCCAAACCTACCTGCCCCGATGTGAAAAATGAATTGCCCCCTCCTGTTAAATCATTAAAGAACTGTGATTGACCACATTATTTTAGAAAGCGGAGTTAAATTTCACTAGCCAAACCCAAGCCTGATTATTTCCAGACCTGTTGAATCAAGAAATCACTTAAATAGAACCTGTCTGACAAAGTGAAGCATGCTTAAAGAGCAACACATCATGCCGCGATCTAAAGAAATTCAAGAACAGATGAGAAACAGCATTTCATAAAAAGAACATCATACCAACAGTCAAACATGGTGGTGGTAGTGTGATGGTCTGGGGCTGCTTTGCAGCTTCAGGACCTGGACGACTTGCCATTGATGGAATCATGAATTCTTCACTCTATCAGAAAATCCTGAAGGAGAATGTCCGGCCGTCAGTTTGTGACCTCGAGCTCAAGCGCACTTGGGTTATGCAGCAGGACAATGATCCAAAACACACCAGCAAGTCCACCTCTGAATGGCTCAAGATTTTGGAGTGGCCAAATCAAAGTCCGGACTTAAATACGATTGAGATGCTGTGGCATGACCTTTCATGCTCGAAAACCCTCCAATGTTGCTGAATTAAAACAATACTGCAAAGAAGAGTGGGCCAAAGTTCCTCCACAGTGATGTGAAAGACTCATTGCCAGTTATCGCAAACGTTTGATTGCAGTTGTTGCTGCAAAGCGTGGCACAACCAGTTATCAGATTTAGGGGGCAATTACTATTTCACATAGTGCCAGGCAGGTTTGGACAGCTTTTTTCACTTAATAAATGAAATCATCAAATACACACACATACAATATATATTTCGAAAAAATGTACATGTATTTACACGTATATATTTATATTAATATAATTTTATATAAATATTATATATTAACAAATTCCTTTAACAATTGAATTTTTCTTTGTTTAGTTTTGTTTTCAAATACTTTTAGATGAATAAAACGACATGAAATTCCATGTCAGAAAAACTGCGTCTGTGTGTGTTGTGGTGCAGACAAAAGGAACATTGCCAGATGGGCAAAGGTAGTTTGAAGAGCTGCATTAGTAATGGCAGGCCACTGTGGACTGAAGTGTGGGAGAATCCCTGCGAGTCTAAATCAGAGGATTCTTCTTCAGATCCTCGCGGCTGACGCCTCCCGCCGATGTCACGCCGTATCCACCAAACCAGCTTGCCCTTTCATTACATGACCTGCCTTGTGCTGCGACTCTGGTGTCCAGTACTAAATGAAAAAATATGATCGTTAAACAAAATGGGAAGAATTTACACATCATCATCCGGCTTTTAATAAATTGTGTGGCCTTCTTGAGCATCAGTAAATGTTTTCACCTTTTTTAATAGTTGTGTATTTGTTCTCAGTGTGAAAATATAGATCTCAAAATCATACAGTGACTTTTGGAAAGGGTTCAAATATGCAGAAGATGCTGGAAAACCAAGGAATGTGCAGGAGCTGGAGGATTTTTCTGAAGAACAGCAGGCAGTTGAACTGCCCAGGACAAACAAGGGACTCATGAACAACTATCACAAAATATAAAAACAGTTGTGGATCATCCAGGAAATTACACACAGTATTAAGATTCAAGGGTATGTGAACTTCTGAATGGGGTAATTTTTATAAATTAAGTTATTATTTTGTCTTGTGGAGTATATGTAAACATCTGTTATGTGAAATGGCTTATTCAGGACAGTGCTAAATAAAAAATAACATGCCGTTTTCATGGTCCCTCTTATTTTGTTTCAATTATTAACATTTTGCACATTCTGCAATATATGTAATGTAAACTTATGAGCACAACTGTATACACACATACGCACACACATTTATATATGTGAAGTGAGATCTTACAGTAATAAACATACATTTGGTTAAATTACTGTTGCAGACAGCTCAAATAACCGCAGTTCACAATTTAGAAGAAATTAGACCGAGACAGTCTGTAACCAACCCTATCTATGAAGAATTGTGTTTGGGGCCACAGAGAGGCAAAACAATTTCCTCTCCTTCAACATCAGAGACACACCTGGAAATCAAGGGCTAATGGGTTAATATTCAATCACTCATGGCACACAGTGAAAAACAGTCAGTCAACAGCAGACTGGATCTTTTTGTTCAAATTTAAAATGTAAAAAAAAAAGGAAGAAAAAACAAGTTTTACAATGATTAAAAAATAAACTTCCAGCTTAACACTGAGGCTGACGTGTTTGTGCTATTTGATCATTTATATATTATTTCGATCACAATATAAATGCATTAATAATAATAATGCCTTCCTGTAAATGCCCTCCTTCCCTTCACATACAGAGATCAATGCCTCATCATCAGACAGGATGCTTATAGGATAAAGGATTGATCATGGGCTCCTTGGAGTCGGTTGGAGGAATTAACACTTTCACATTTTCATGAACTGCTCGCTGACCTCCAAAACCCATCACATGAGCTTCAGCTCATCACATTCTCACTGCAGCAGCACAAAGACCAATTCACCAATGAAGTTGAAAATTAACAGATTAAAGAAAAAAAAAAGAAAGAAAAAACACTTGTGCCCAAAGCATATCAACCCATGAACTGATTCAGTGCAGGGGTATGAGGCTTCACAGAATTTTCCTGGAAAATAGAGGTGGCAGAGCATAACTTTTGCCTGAACAAGCCCTCTGTTTGTTCTCTAGACATGGTAGCTGGTGCTTTGAACAAATAATCTGCTTCTCACAATAAAAACGGCCTGTTGTTCCAGAGTTTGCCAAAATGTGATTAAACATGCACCCTCAGGGTAAACCTGAAGACCCCAAAGCTAGAATGAAGCCATGTTTGTAAAACATATGGTGATAGTAAGTGGCTATTATTGATTTAAACGCTTCTTTCAAGCTCAAATTCCCAACAATGAACCAAAAATTAAATAAAATAAATAAACGGTAACCTGATATTGTCTGGAGTGTTGTTGATTTTGGTCCTTAAAGTCTTTGATTAAAATGTTTAGTAAAGAGCTTTCATTGAGAAGCAGGGCTGGGAGACAGAGCTAAAAAAATATCAGAGCTGAAAAAAAAAAAACTATTTTTGATGACACTCAATATATACTGAGACACAATTGACAATTTGTTTCTCATGATCTTAAAATCTTTTGATCTAGCTTTTGATGACTTTATTAGAGTAAACACAAACAATGAGAAGGTGTGCCCAACTTTTCAATGCTAGTGTATATGTTGTAATGTATGCATTTATCTATAAAAGCATTTGTCTTAAAATTCTCAAAATAATTAAAACATGGAAAGAATTCAAAAATAGTTATATATATATATATATATACATATATATATATACTGTATATACATATATATATATATATATATATATATATATACATATACACACATATATGTCTATATATATAAAATATGAAGTGCACTGCAAATTTTCTAACGAAAGGATTAGCTTTGCCTACCTCCTCTGGTTCCTGTTTAGGAGACGCTTTAACGGAGCCTTTGGATGTGAGTGTCTGTATAGAGGGGAAAAAATAAGAACTTTTCATTAGAGATCTTTTCATCAGAGGGTCACTGAACTCTGACCCTCTGATGGACTCTCCCACTCCCCCCTGCCAAATACACACACACACTGTCACTTTAATCAGTCTGAATAAGCTCTTTTGCACTACAATCATTATATCTGCACTGTTGTTTACTTCACTGGTTTGCACTCTATCTGCCATGTGCCTTGTGCTGCTTTATATATTTTTTTACATTTTACCTTATTTGTATAATTGTATAGTTGTATTTTATATTTAAATCTGTATCTATCTGTATTTATGTTCTACTGTTAGTGTTATCTGTATGCACCAAGGGTCTGAGAGTAACGCAATTTCAATTCTCTGTGTGTATGTGCTGTACATGTGGAAGAATTGACAATAAAGCAGACTTCACTTGACTTGACTTGATTATTGTTTAGGAAGTTTTTACTTGCAACTGAGAATTAGTTTTGAGAATAATAATGTTCCAAAGTAAAGTAGATATTTCTGATTTTTTTTTTCCCCCGTCTGCACTGGTAATTTAATTTCCATTTCAGAAAAAGAAGACTCCCAAGGTAGACATCAAAAGCAGCATTAATGAAAGTAAATTTACCTCTTTGTCTGTCTCAGGAAGCAGAGTTACAAAGTTGTCTGGGAAAACTCCCTCCTTGCCGTTGATCTCTCCTCTCCACCAGCCTGGCTCTCCTGTGTTCTAAAACATCAAAACCATCAATCACTCTGAACATAAATTGCTTATTTTATAAAATCTACACCTTAAAAGCTTAAATACACATTACTATGAATAGGAAATGCAGACATATCCCTTGCCACTAGATGGTGATCAAGTATAAAACATTTCCAACTTTGATCCGCTTCCTGCTCAAGGCCTTTGCCAAACATTAGCATCAGGTGGGAAAACAGTGTCCACGTGTCTTAAATGAAGTAAACACATCCTTAGGTTGCTAACAGAACATAATCCATGGGTAATGAGATGCAACAGTTACAGTATCATACATTTCCAATGTGTCTGCAGATAGCATCAAACATGCACAGAAGAATACTCCAAAAACAAACAAAAAAAAAACCTACAGAAACTCCCTTTATCCCTGAACACTTCAAAACAGTTTCACATCAGAATTCCCATCTGAGAGCTCTGTACTAGCAACAATTGCATTACAGGTCATACATGTTTTTGTAAATGAAGACTATTTTCATTTTAGGGTGATTTTTCCCTTTAAACTGTGATTTAATCCATGCATCAGATGTTAATATTCTTCATGATTACACTGTAATTCTAATATGAACCATGACTCTACCTCTCTGGCATAATTTGCAGAAATGTGGACTAACTGCCTAAGCTTGTTTTTATCAGGTAGTGTTTTCACACCCCAGACTAAATTACAGAGCAGGATATAGACTAACTAGTCTAAATGAAGAGAGTAAAAGTGATTGGTTCACAGGTTTTTGTAAGAGACGGAGCACTTCCTGCCTTATTATTAATGTAGATCCCAAAGTTTACACTGCTCCCTGATGGCTAAAGGTCTTACTCCTTGTTTATTCAACAATCAGTATGCAATATTTGCAGTATGCAGTATAGGGCAATATTTGGCTGAGAAACAATAATTTGAAAATCTGGAATCTGAGGGTGAAAAAAAGGAAAAAAAGTCAAAATATTGAGAAAATCGCCTTTAAAGTTGTCCAAATGAAGTTCTTAGCAATGCATATTCCTAATCAAAGATTAAATTTTGATATATTTACAGTAGGACATTCTCATGGAACATGATCTTTACTTAAAGGCACAATATGAAAGATTTTTTTATTAAAATATCCAAAAATCACTAGAACAGTGTTATATATTCTGCTGACTTGTGTACTTGCATTATCCCAAATGTTTTGAAGAATGTTTAAATCAAGAGAAATAGCAATTTTAAATAGTGGCTCGTCCCTGGTCATTGCGTCACCTGCCAATGACGTCATAGACCCTCGATTTCCGGTTTTGTTTTGTAGAAAACATGGAAACACCAAAGACGCTTTAATATGTTATGTGTTTTATTACACAGGTGGCGACCGTACAGAGTAGCATTATAACAACTTTCAAATGTATCTATTATGATAAAACAGCGATGCTTTACCCCACATACGCACGACCTGAAGGAGCGGAAGCGGTCGACTGTGGCATAATAAAAGCTCCGCTGCTTTCGAGCCGTGTGTCACTTTAACCCATTACAATATGAATAGCGCTCTGCGCGAGGGCGTGATCATTAGAGATAATGAGCTGAGAAAGGAGAAACCTGTACCTGTCTTTACTTTCATGCTTATTACAAAATTAAACTGAACAAAATTACAATGTTCTCAGTTCGTCGATGTGTCCACGTTAAGCAGTTTCCTTATAATGGACTCCAATGGGGGAGAACGCTTAAGGTGATATTATTCACTTTATACGCTGAATAAGAGCTCGTTCTTTTGACAGCAGCAAGTGTTTATTATAAGTAAAATTTGACAGAAGTTTGGTTTTCACCGGTCGTTGTTAAGGTACGTTAAACCACGTTAAGCTGTTTCCTTATAATGGACTTCTATGGGGGAGAACGCTTAACGTGATATTATTCACTTTATCTGTGGAGTAAGGGCTCGTTCTTTTGACAGTAGTTAGTGTTTATTACAAGTAAGGTTTGACAAAAATTTGGGTTTCCCTGGTTGTTGTTTACGTACGTTAAGCCACGTTAAGCATTTTTCACGTTAAGCGTTTTAGAATGTCCCCGTGACAGACAGCTAGTTGTCCAGTCCTGTTCCGTTCACACAGCGCGTGTGTTCCGAGAATGCGGTTGTGAATCCTGAAAATTTACAGGTGTGTGTTCGGTTACAGAATGCGGTTGTCACACCCGTAAATAACGAAACTGTGTGTGAACGTAACCGTATTAAGGACTCAAATAGAGGACTGACAACCGTATTCTTCTGCTGTGTGAACGTGGCCTATGTAATTTAATCATTTTTAAAAATACCTTTGGACAAATTCATTGCTACATTTTAATAGACACAAACATGTTTTATTTGTTTTCAGATGTTCAATGTTTGTCATCTGGCAGATTTTCTTTTTTATAACTATACATTACATAATGTAACTTATTAAATAATAGCTTTCATGCTTAATGTTCCTATTGTGGATGCTTCCTGAATATGTGTTGTTTATTTGGAGATCTCTGTGGTTAGGAAGACATTTGCTCACCCTGTTCCATACCTTGCTCAGTATGTGGATGATGTCACCCTCCTTTAAATCCAGCTCATCTTGGTTAGTTGCTTCAAAGGGGAATTTGGCCTTGCAATATTCTTTTACTGTAGAGAGACAAGAAAAAAAGACGATATATGTATGCTACACCTTGATTTGTCTTATGTAGCTACTACTGACTTTCCACTAAAAACTTTAGGTTGTGGAGTGTAACTAGTAAAGCACAAGGTGCAAGTACACTTTCAGTACTAACAGAAAGACATACTACTCTATAATTTGGGTTTAGCTAATTACCAAGAGGAAGAAAAACAATGTCAGTCAGTCATAATCAGGGCAGTCAGTATCAGCCGTTCAGTCTGGTGCATTTCCATAAATCTCCCGTCATTATTTTGGTTATCACATACAGCTTTATGTCAACCTTCCCATGAACTCACCTTTTCCTTTGCTCTCTGCCTCTTTTTCTCCTTTAGGGGGTTCAGGGGTGCTCAAAGGGGTGGGTTTTGTGGCTGATGGTAATGATGGAATTGGCTAAAATGAAGAAGAACCACAAATGGATTTACTGACATGGCAGCCACACAAACACATGCAGTTGCACACTGGAAGGTAGAGACTTTGAGACAGGTCAGCCATGCCTGGATGAAAGGAATGCTGGGCAAACAATCACCACTCTTACATATGCACAGATTCAATGGGAGCGCATGCCGCATTTAGACTTTTTTTTTTTTTTTATAAATGAACTTTGAGCTCTTGATAAGAGACGTAGTGGATGATTCAACTGAACTGAATGACATAATGGGATGCAAAATGTGACAAAAAGGGAGAAAGGAAGTATTGGTTAAATGCATTAATATTGTAAACAGAGCTAAATGACTTAAAGCATAACATGGAAGGTCATTTGTGGCAAATTTAACAACTATAACATGATGTACACTAACATTTAAAAGTTTGGGATCAGTTTTTATCTTTTATTCAACAAGCATGCATTAAAATAACCAAAACTGACAGTAAAGATTTATAATATCACAAAAGATTTCCATTTTAAATAGATGCTGCTCCTTTGACTGTTTTCAATATTGATCATAAAAAGGAATGCGTCTTGAACACCAAATCAGCATATAAAGCATATAAGTAAAGGATCATGTGATACTGAAGACTGTAGTATTGGCTGCTGAAATAAATGACATTTTAAACATTTTAAAATAACATTTCACAATTTTACCGCTTTTACTGTATTTTTGAGCAAATCAATGCAGCCTAGGTGAGTGAAAGGGAGTTCTTTTAAAACATTTAAAAATGCTAACGATCCCATATTTTTTGAATGGTAGTGTACTACTAAGTGAAACAGAAAATTAAGGGAGAAATGTAGGATGGGGATGATTTTAACCAAGCTACATCTCCACTAATCATGTGCTATGAAATTATTGTTATTAATAATATCTATATTAGGGGTTTCCAAACGTTTTAATGAAAAAGAACCCCCAAATATAAAGACAAATTTATTCATTCATTCATTTACACGTGTGTGTGTGTGTGTGTGTGTGTGTGTGTGTGTGTGCAGAATTTTTTTTAAAAAGCATGAGATTATTAAGATAACGTTGTATACACAAAGCAAAAATGCATGCACAAAAGTAAGCAATAAATATTACTAAATAATTGAACATATTAATAAACATTATCTGGAAATACTTTGTATTTTGTTTTTCTACAAAACATTTTTTCTGACCAACATCAGAATACTAGAGAGATATTTTCAAATAAATTTGGATTT